AGCAATTTCTTTTGGATATATGTTTGGAAGTTTATTTGGAGGAAAATATTCGGATTTTTTATCAAAAAAAGCAATATCAATTTCTGGTGGTGGTTATTGTCCGGAAGTAAGAATAAAAGGTGCCTGGTTTAGTTCATTATTAATTCCAATAACTTGCATCATTTACGGATGGCTATTAGATATTAATTTTAATATCTATGTATTGGCAATTTTAATATTTTTATGTAAGTTTAAAACTAATATATTTATTTATTTATACTGTTGCGTTTTATTAAATTATTTGACTTTTATATCTTTTATATTTTTCTTTCTCGTTTTTTTTTTTTATATAAAGGTTCATTTGGAATGTTAAGCGCATTCAACACATTGTCTACATACCTTGTCGATTCATGTCCTGGACACGGTGCTTCCGTTACGGCATTAGTTAGTCTTATTAGATTTTGTGTATCTGGTGTTCTATCAATTTTTGAAACTTCTATTGAAGAAAGCTTTGGTGTTCGTTGGATGTTTACTTTAATAAGTATAATATGTTTTTTTAGTATTTCATTATTAATTGTAGTATATATTAATGGAAAGAAATGGAGATCTAAGTTTGTTATAACCTAATGTACAAAATACTTTAAATAGATGAATAAATATATACATTTTTTAACCAAAAATCTTTTTCAAATATGTGGACACTTGTTTTATTCTAAATTATGTTATACTTAAGTCAGATTTATATGTTATAGCATGAAACAAGCCGCTTAGGGAGATTCTAGGAAAGCTGGGTAATTTTATGTGTAATAACTACTTATTACTCATTCATTTATATAATTATACATTTTATAATTATTACGAAGCTGGGGTTAGAAAACATTTAAAGGAAGAATGCATAATGATTTTGCACATTCCTATGCATGTTTATAGTAAGGTTCTTAATGAATTTATCATATACACTAGGTTAATGCGTAACATTGTGTGTCCGGAGCAGGGACGGTGATTTTATGCGGCAACAAATCATTGATTATGCATGCAACGAATAATTGATCATTTCCAGATTTTAATTTTGCTGCACTCATGTGGTCGCAAAAACCCGTGCTTAACTGGTTTCCATATTATACTGTACGTACATGCCTTAATTTGATGTAAAAAAATTAATAACGTAACTTTAATGATTATTATAACTATTTTGAGTAAGTTTTTCTTCCTGAAATATTGAATATGTAACAGTATTTGTGTTATTGTCGTTAGAATTTATTATT